TTTTCGCTTCATTGTTTCATACCAACGGCTGTATATCCTTTTAAAGGGCGATTATGTACTAAAGTAAGAGCAGATTTGAAATCACTGCTTTTCTCTTTCTAAGAAAAGTGATTGATCAGTGTTTCTCAACTTTAAAGGTTACATGTTTATAAATTTAACCCTGAAGAGTCCGTTAACGCAGTGTTGAATGGTGTACACCTCCCTGTAAATGCGCACGGACACTTTCAGAATTCTCTCGATTGTTCCTGAATTGAGGTTGTTTGTCCAAGGAGCCGTAGTTGAAGTGCGCGCAACAACTAGACCCTTTCTCGGATGCGCCGTGTACCTAACATCCCTTCAGATTCGGGGTCTTACTTGAAAGATGAAATATCTCTTGGAAAGCGTGCGAAATTCAGATTCTTTAACTTGTGTGGTGATAAAACACTGAAGTAACTAAGAATTACCGGACGCCTCAGAATCACGAAAATTTTGTGTGGGTGAAATATCATTTTCATTGGAAATCCTCTGGCCTGGCATCGACTCATCCTTGATATTTGTCTTCCGACGGTGATGATCCCACTGCATCAAAATGGCTCGATCTCTTCCACCCAGCGGGCCAATACGACCCCCCCCTGCGACGTGTCGAGGATTCCTCAACGCAACGTTGACCCCTTACAATATTTCCCTCCCCCCTCCCTCGCCCACGGCTGGAGAGACAAGGCGGGACTTACACCAGGGAGTCGCAAATGTTCTGATCGGCTCAGTGACAAAATCGGTCCGATTTACCCTGCCCTTATCTCTGCGCGTTCCATTATTGAATTTCCAATGTAGACGCTTGCATTTCAGCTTTTCAAATCCGAAATTGTTCTAAACCTCGATAGCTTGACTCCGAGGCTGAAGCTGTCTTTTCTTTTCGATTCGTCGATATTGGTATATTGCTACCTTGTTTAAGGCTTCGAGTAACGGCTGCGAATCGTATCGGTGAGAGTTCTGAAGCGGCGCCGATCGTTGTCACGACGCGGAGTGATTGTCCTCCTCCAGCACCTCCTCCACCGAATGTGGTTTCTGTGAATGCCCGTTGTGTGAAGCTAGCTTGGAGTAATAATCCGGAATGTACTTACACGGTAGGGAATCTGTTTAACTTGCTCCAGAGAGATCGCTGTATCATCTGTACTGATCGTACTTATTCAGGTTGAAATGCATGATGTCGCCGCAGGGCCGAACGCTATCACGGTCGTGAAGGATCGCGTTGGTGGTGCTAGTGCCCAAATCATGGACCTAAAAGCGTGAGTTTCATTTCAACAGTTAAACCTCGATTGTAATGAGGATTCAGACGCTAATCAAAAGCTTAGTGTTCAAAGGCATACTCAATGCAGTGAAATATTTTTCAGAATATAACATGAATCTGAAGGGATGGGGGGGGGGGGTGCGGTAAGTAATGTCCGTGCGGAGGGGAAGACGTTAAGTTCTTCTCCTAGATCAGATTACCAGAGCTGCGGAATGATTCAAGCTCAAGATTAAGCTTAGGCATAGGTTTTTTCGAGCAGAGCAAACGTGTCGGATTCAGACGTGGCCTGCCCTGGAGAGATGAATTGATACACTTCCGTACGATGGTTGCCAGTGGTTCTCAGCCGCCTACAGCAGTGCCGTTTCCCTGTGCGCTCTAACGTATACCGACATTGCGTGGCCAACTGTGGCGCAAATGCTGCTGCGTTTTTTGCATTAACACAAAAGATACCGTATCCAGTGAAACTCGCTTCATAATAATGGGGAGGAGGCCACTATTGAAAAGTTGTCGGTTACTACATGCTGATGATGTCCCCTCTTTCCTTTAGTACGGACGGCATAGTGGTCCGCCTACTGTGAGAATGCCATCAAATCCAGAACAAATGTAGACAATCATTTGCCGTGTTTTTGAATTAAAACTATATGCAATGCAAATGCTGCAACCCACTATTAGCTCTGATGTTGAAGTGAACCACTATGTCCAATTGATCTGATAGACCCTTCACGCGCTCGCCGTTAGACGGGTTCCTTGAGCAAAATCTAGCTGAATACTTGTGTGCTATAATAAATACCGACCGTAATTTTTTGAACGTTCTCATTTTTGATTTAAAAAAGTTCTTTTATATACAATTTTCAGTGGTAGCGAATATCGTTTCCGAGTTATCGCACACAATGCCGAAGGCGAGTCACCGCGCTCTGACTGGACGTATGTGCGTATGACAGGCCGAGGCACTCCTGATCGGGTTCTTGAACCCACGAAACCGTTGGCTGTTGCTCGAGGTCGTAATAAATTTGACGTCTCTTGGAAGTGCCCTGGAGCGAAGTAAGTGATATTTCGCGTTCTCAACTTAGTTCTTGTAAGCATAACTGGCCTGTTTTTCAATAAGTAACATTTAAGGGAACGTGAGTTCACGTATGTGCTAGAGGGCTCTACCGCGAATCAACCGAATCGTTTTCGTGTTTTGTACCGTGGACCGCTTAGTACTCATACAGTAACCGATGAGGATATTGTCCATTTACGCGTTCAGAGTATCAACAGGAAGAATGTTGCGGTGAGGATACGCCCTTTATTAATTTTTATTATTTGATAAGCCGTATATAGGCTACTCACAACAGAGCTAGGCCGAGCTCCTTGCTCTTGTTTGGACCAAAGGTTTCTAGTTGCCAGAAATATCCTAACGACATGGGGCATCTTGACAGCATTTCTGATAGCTTTGAAATCCGAATGATTGTTGTCTTTCGAGAGTCCAAAGATTACGCGGGGCTATCTGGCACCGTCTACGCTTACTATTGGTGCGCTGACAAGAAGTTGAATAATTTCATGTTGTTTAGAGTGATTTCTCTGAAGTAATCACGCTGGTTCGTGAGCCTGAGCTTATAATCACAAAAC